CAGTCGATAGATATTCTAAATGGGTTCGAATCTATAGAAAGAGGAAGAAAGGAATGCTTAACAGAAGGGTTAACAAAAGATGGGGTGATCGACCAGTAATTCTAAGAGATCCTGCAGGCCCTGTCATCGCCAATGCTTTTACTATCGGTTCAGATGCTGATCTTCTCAGAAATCACATCTTTCCTAAGCTTGAAGAAGACTATGACAAGGCAAATGCTGCTTTAGTATGCAAGGGTTGGGCTAGAGAGGTTCGAGCTGTTCATCCTCCTACATGTGACAGGCTGATTATGAAAAGGTAGCTAGTCCGTTGTGGTACCCATTACCACGTTAAGGTGACTAGAGGACCGAAGGGAGAGGCTCATGTCCTCAAATATTGGTGTTCCTGTGAGCGATGGGATAATTCAATCGCCTATCGCAGTATTGTTAATTGGAGTTTAACAAGTCCTGCCGATGATCGAGATTTTGAAGACTACTTGACAGGTCCCATAATGAAGAGGGCATTGGCGCACTTCAGGATGATCCAGGATATTAGAAGTCATCTCAATAATTAAGTATATCACTGTATATATTTAGCCTTAAGTCCTGTCTTAAAGAGCATACACAATTCAAAACTTATAAGTTTTGAAATGCTCGAATTTTGTAATTATTCCACTTCTATAAATATTAAGTAATGTTTATATTCTGTGTTTGGTATTAGCAGAATTAGACATACACAATGCTTTATAAATGTTTAAAGAGTCAAAATCTGGTTAGTTTTAAACGCCATCAACCACCCAAATTAGGGGGGCATTTGTTACACCCAAAAATCAGATTTTTAACTTTTAATTGACTTTCTTAACTTTGACTAAGTGGAAAAGTCCTAGAGTTAGTGAAGGGTCTTTGGTTAATTGGATTTAAAACATAATAGACATTGGGCTGATATTGCATTAGGGCCTAACTGCATTAACACCAGATTGAAAGGCTAATGGATGACTTCTAATTTTCAAAGTAGAGTTGGCGCCAAGATGCATAGCCGGACTTCAGTTATGGGAGTCAGCCATAACTGCTCCATTTTGCCTATAAATAGAAGTACGAAGATCGAAAGAAGACATCAACAAACAACTCAACAACAAGCATTTCATTTCTTTTAAGCTTTTTTCTTAGCTTTCGTAGTTTTACCTTGCCTTAGTAGCCAAACGATAGTGTAGTTTATCATCTAGCATGTATTGAAGATCATTCTTCTTTTCCAATTGTATGACCATGGAGGTAACCTCTCCTTCAACTTGTACAATTGTAGACCTGACTCAATCCTTTCATTAATGGAATGCATTTGTATCTTTTGTCATATGTTTATCTACTTGTTTATTTGAGCAATCTAACTTGTTTTACTTCTTTTGGGAAAGCTTCCTTATTTGTTTTTTTTACATTAGCAATGTTATCAATCTTTGAAACCGGTAACTCGAGGGGCAGCCGCCTAATACTCTAGAACAAGATAGAGTATTTAACTTGTTGGTAAAGAGCAATATTTACCTCAACAGGAACAGAAAGAGAAATCGCCTCAACAGGAAGGTCAGGAAGCAATGGGGGATAGACCTGCCATTTTGGAAGATGAAGATGGACCTGCTGGGCCTAGCGCTTTTCATGTGGGCGCAAACGCTGATCTTTTGAAGAATTTCATACTCCCTCACCTGGAGGAGAAAGAGGACAGGGAAAACGCCGCCTTGGTTTGTAAGAGATGGGCCAGGGAGATCAGAGCAATCTTTCCTCCCATATTCGATAGGAAATTGGAGGCGAGGACTATTCCTTACCCCAAGACGTACTATGAAGTTGAAGTTACCAGGGGTGCAGAAGGGGAAATGCATACCTTGATGTACAAGCGCGCCTGGCAATTATGGTATGAAGAAATCTTCGAGCACCATAGGATCAATTGGCTCCTTACATTGCCTAGCGATGACGAATTCGAGGATTATCTCGACGATCCCGAATTGCAGAATTGTGTGGCGACGCTCCAAAACAATCCAGGATATTAGAAGGCATCTCAATAAGTATATCGCTGTATATATTTAGCCTTAAGTCCTGTCTAAAGAACGTACACAATTTAAAACTTATAAGTTTTGAAATGCTCTTATTTTTGTAATTATTCTAATTTTATAAATATTAAGTAATGTTTACGTTTTGTGTTTGGCATTTACAAAGTTAGACATACACAATGTTTTATATTTATGCTTAAAGAGTCATAATTTGGTTGGTTTCAAACGCCATCAACCAGCCAAATTAGGGGCGCATTTGTTACACTCAAAAATCAGATTTTTGACTTTTATTTTACCTTCTTGACTTTGACCAAGCTGAGAAGTCCTAGAGTTAGAGGACAGTCTTTGGGCTAGTTTGACTAAAACATAACAACCATTGGGCTGATATCATATTAAGGCCCAATTATATATAGACCGTATTAGAAGGCTAATAAATGATTTAAATTTTCAAAATAGAGTTGGCACCAAGAAGCATAACCATATAACAGTTATGGGAGTCAGCCATAACCGCTCCATTTTGCCTATAAATAGAAGTGTAAGGACCGAAAGAAGATATTATTAAATAACTCAACAACAACCATTTCATTTCTTATAAGCTTTCTTCTTAGCTTTCGTAGTTTCCCTTGGCTTAGTAGCCAAGCGATAGTGTAGTTTATCACATAGCATGTATTGAAGATCGTTCGTCTTTTCCAATTGTATGACCATGGAGGTAATCTCTCCTTCAACTTTTACACTTATAGACCCGACTCTATCCTTTCATTAATGAAATGCATTTGTATCTTTTGTCATATGTTTATCTACTCGTTTCTTTGAGTAATATAACTTGTTTTACTTCTTTTGGAAAAGCTTCCTTATTTGTTTGTTTTACGTTAGCAAGGTTATCAATCTTTGAAACTGGTAACTTGAGGGGCAGCCCCCTAATACTCTAGAATAAGATAGAGTATTTAACTTGTTGGTAAAGAACAATATTTACCTCAACAAACTCTCAGCAAGAAGTAGTGTCCAAAGGTACCTGATGAGCGAGAGAGAATGAATCAAATCCCATATGCTTCGCTAATAGGATCGATCATGTACACCATGATATGTACATGGCCGGATGTATCGTATGCCTTGAGTGCTACGAGGCGATACCAATCATACCCAAGAGATGCGCATTGGACTGCGTCCAAGAATATCCTAAAGTACCTGAAAAGGAACAAGGATAAATTCCTAGTCTATGGTGGAAGTAAGGACTTGGTTGTTGAAGGTTATACAGACGCAAGCTTCCAGACTGACAGAGACGACTTCAGATCAGAATCTCGATATATATTCTATCTAAATGGCAGAGCGTTTATTTGGAAGAGTGCTAAGAAAAGTACGGTTGACGATTCTACAACTGAAGTCGGGTACTTAGCAGCCTCAGAAGCAACTAAGGAGGCAGTTTGGATTCGAAACTTCATTGGTGAACTTGGTGTTGTGCCCTTAATCAAGAGACCAATAGACCTATTTTGTGACAATAATGGGGCTATTGCTTGGGCCAAGGAGCCGAGGCAACACCAAAAAGTGAAACAGGTCGAGCGGCGAGTTCACCTCATAAGGGAATGGATTACTAGAGGTGAAGTCAAGGTTTGCAAAGTTGGAACGGATGATAACATAGCCAATCCACTCACTAAACCTTTCCCTTAAGTGAAACACAATAAGCACGTTGAGGCTATGGAAATTAGGCACATTGGAGGCTAGCTCTAATTTCCTATATTTTGTGTTTTAATTAAGTTGTGGATATCTTGATGTAAAACACTAAGTTAACCATTCATATATGGAGTAATTTTATTTTTCTGCAAAATTATTATTCCATATCTATTTAATTGTAGTTTAGAATTTAAAAAATGAGTCCATTCGAGTTGACGACACTCAAAATAGGGTATTAAGACAATGTCTTGGATAATGAAACACCTATTAAGTGAACATTGAATGTCATATCGAAACTACCCCTAATCAAGGTCATTTAAAAGTTGGACAACTAATGACCGTGCGAGATTAGTGTGTAGAATGATTTATAGCACTGTTTCTTATGCTACAAGAACAAGAATGTCATAAATAATTTGCACAGGTATTAGTTTTGGAACTATACAGGATTGACCTATGAGAATACTTTAAGAGATTTAAAATCGTCATAAGTATATTTCTCATTATTGCTATCGGTACCTTTTTCCTCGACCATGAGGACTGTAAGTTCGCTTTTAAAAGCGCTAATCTGTTTTGATGTTGGTCAAACGTCTGCCGTAAAAGGGGATTATAAAGATGACACTCGGGAAACTAGGTCTCTTAGTAAGAAAAGCTTATCAATACAAGATTGGAAATGTCCTCTTATGAACAATAGGAAACATGTCTTTGTTGTTTACAAGGCCTCTCGAAGAGCTAGACTGTGAAAATGCATGGTCGTGCTTAGATGAATTTTAGAAATTATCTGTACTTGCCAGTCGAACTCAGAATTTCGAGAAACACTTCTGGACGTAATAAGGATGACGATAAATCTTACCTTATAGTTCATGAAGAGACATTAAGTGACATAGGAAAAGAGCAATACACACATTGCACACTTCTCTGGAAGGACAAATTGGAGATTGAAAGGTATGGTGTCCTTTGAACAAGTGTATTATACCGATAAAGGGTTTAGAATCAATTACGGAGTTAATTATTCAATGAAGTAGTCAAGTGATCGAAAAGTCAGGCAAGAGGCCATCTCCAATTAGTGATATTAATTATATTAACATTAGTAGGAAAAACACAAATGCGCACCGAGAAATTTGCACCGGTTCTTAAAAACTGGTGGAAAAAAAACGAGGCAGGATTTAGTGTAAGAGCAATGGCATCGGTTCAAACAAAACCGGTGCGAAATTCTTGAAATAGCACCAGTTCAAACCGGTGCCACTTGTTTTCCTAAAAAAACCCGCCCCTTTTCCTTCTTTCTCTTTTCCCTCTACTTTCTTTCTGTTTCCTCAGTTTCTCGTTTAATCTCCCTTCTCTCTCCTCTCTCCTCAACATCATCTCTTCATTTTCTCAGATTTTACCATCTTTCATTCTCTCTCTAGAACTTTCTCTATTTCTCTCTTTAGAAGAAGAAGAAGAAGTTAGCTTGAGCAGCAAAAATGACAGGAGGTGGATCAACAAGCAGCAACCCGCCCAAGTAGAGGAAGAGAGTTGAAGCTGAGTCTCCAGATGCTGAGTCTTCGCCTTCTGCTACTCCTTCTCTTAAGCATGCTAAGGATGGCAGCGCTTTCTCTCGCTGGTATTTTTCTCCCTATATCTAAACCTAGGTTTTACTTTTTTTTTTTTTTTTTTGATTCATGTTTTTCTGCTATTAGTGTTGTTTAACCCTAATTTTTTTCAGGTTTTAGACTTGTGTATTTAATACATCGCTGTTTGATTTCGTTGTAGACTTCTGATTTTTAGTTGCTAATTTTTGGTTTGTGATTGTAACCAGAGTATTCTTCACGTTTTATTATTTAGATTTGTATTTTGCTTGCTTAAACCTGTTTGATTTTCTTCCTACTTTAAGAATGGTGAATTTGTTGTTGCTTCTAAGCTGAATGAGCGATTGTTGAATGTTTAGTGGTGTTTATTTAGCTATGACTGATAATATTTTGTGGTAAGTTGGTAACTATTGAAAAGTTAATGATTATAATTGGCAATGAGGAATAGATATGATGTTAATTTTGTGTGAATTAGAATGTGTTTTGCATATGTTTGAATTTTAATTTTTGCCTGCTCAAATTTTGTTGATGTTATTCCTGGTTTGAATGCGCTAAAATCTGTTGTTACGGCTGAAATGAAAGAGTAACCGATGGCTTATTGGTAATATTATGCTTATAAAGCTAGCTGAATTGAATTGAATGATGTTTTAGTTGTGTTGGTAACTTCCAGTATTGATGAGATAAATCTTTGATTTGGGACTATTTTGTAACATTTAACAGTGAGGAATGCAACAGCAGTGTGCCAGTAGCTCTTATTGATATGCACAACTGCAGCATTGAGGCGAAAATCAAGATGAGCCTTGGTAAGGCAGTTTACGAGTTGTGATTGATCTGATTTCATTTGTCTTAGTTTATTTTGTGTTTATGATGTTAGATGATAATCTCAATATGCTAATTTTGTTGTATTTTTTCTTGTTAGATGCGACTGTTGTTGAAAAGCCGGCTGAGGTTAAGAAGAAGCCAGCTGAGAGGTTTGATTTTGTGTTTGATTATGTTTAAACCAAACCAGAAAAGAGAGGAGAAGTAGCAGCTAAGACCAGGGGCACAGACAGACAGCAGACAAAGCAGCCAACAGCATAAGCAGAACAGCAACCAGCAAACGAACAATAGCACCAACAGAAGCTTGCAATAGTAGGAACCAACAGCGACCTGTACACCATAGAAATACCCTGACCAGCATCCAGCAGTAGACACCCAGCAGAAGAGGTAGAAAGCAGAACACAACAAGCTGAACACTAGCACCAACACGACGAAGGACTTTTCAGTCATAGAATATCTCTGCCAGAGGTATGCAAACAACAGTATAGATTGTATATGTGTATTATAGGATTCGTTTACTCGTGAAACATGTTATACTCCATGTAAATAAGGAATGAGCCAATAGCCAATAAGTGTTTTCTGTGAAACTTCAGTTGTTTGATATAGTTTTCATTGATGCGGTATTGAGTGAGTGGCAAAAGACATTGCTTAAGTTACCTGCAAGAATACGTCAAGCATGTGAACTGGTACAAAAGCTAGATTTTACAGCATTTTTTATTTTATGATCAATCTTAGGTCATAAACTTGAATTTTCATTGAATTTAGGATGCAATAAGTTCAGCTCAGTGGGTGAAATACCTAATAAATGAGGCGAGGCCATCCTTCACCAGAGCACTACATCGAGGGCTTTGTAAGGACATGTCAAGGGAATTCCTTGGGAGGTATAAACTAAAACTTAACATCTTTAATCGGTGTATTTGCAATCATAAGCTTGGCTTCTACTCATGTAGTGCCGTAATAGCATATCAATGATGTCATTAAATCACTTGAATTCTTAACACAGATTACATGACCATACTATATGATTTTCTAACATGTCTTTCATACAATAAGTGTTAATGGAATGAACTGAGCATAATATATGACCTTAAATCCTCAATATGCTGCAACATGATAATGGCAGACCCTTCGTTTTTGCATAAGCTTCTATTTGAGCAGTTTGTCACTATTGCTTTTTCTGTTCGGTCAGAAATGAAAATCGGAAGGGTAGGTATGAGCTTAATGTCTTACTGCTTTTAGAAACAATAGTGATTGACTCTTTAATAAGTTCCATTTCCTCTGATGTAACAATCTCATTGTTTACATTGTCAATCATCAAACAACTACCTGCCCAAAGTTTTTGTTTTTGTTTGTAACAGAATGAAGGAGGAATGGCATTTAGCACTTATAAATGTACTCACAGTAGCATCGTGCAATTTAGTAATTGTTTGGTCACTCGCTCCTTGCTGCTCATATGTCAATACCTTCAGCTCTTCTGATCTACAGAATAGACTACAGAAGCTCCCAAACAACATATTGGAAGCAAGTTATCGTTATAGAGAATTTGATCTGCAGAAAAGAGTTCTGTCTTATTTATGCAAGGCTGTACAATTTAGCTTAGTGGGATTTACAGTAGGGGCACTTCACAGCGCCTTGTTACATCTCCATACCCAAGGAAAAGAGAGAAGGTTAATTTTTGCACTTCATCTTTGTCTTTTATTTGTTTCATACATAATTTCCTATACGAGACTCATACAAAAGTAGGTTGTCTGTGCCAATACCACCTGCAAATACAAATGCGCTCGGATATGGAGCTTTCCTTGGCCTCTACACAAATTGGAGGTATCAGATGATATGCGGGATGGATAAACTGCTATACAACCATTTCAATGTGATTGGAGTTTCCCTCTTTTTCACCGCAGCTTTCAGGTTTGTTTAACCAGCACTTCCTCCTCCCCTCTCCCTCCCATTAGTATGAATTGATGAATTTTCAAGCATTTGTAATCTCTGTCCTTCTCCTTCTGGTTAACTGCATATCTATAATGTTTTATACAGTTTTAGTAAATTGAGTATATCAAAATACATGCTCATATAAAGTTTTAGTAATACTGTTGGCTCATTCCTAGCAGCCATTGTTGTTCTTCAGAGAAGCCAAGAACAGGCCTTAAGAACCCAAGAGCCTGAGAACAACCATCACAGCAAAACAGCAAAAAGGACCAACAATAGCAGCAACCACCAGCAGAACCAGCAAGGTTACAGCAACAGTAGCACCTTGTATTTTATTTTATTTTATTTTATTTTTTTGGACGAAAATTGTAATATTACAGTCTTTTTTTAATGAAAATATGTAACTTTATATATATGTTAGTGTTTATATATCAATTTAAGTGAAAAAAATGCTACAAAAAAAAAAATTTAATTTTTTTGGGGCATTAAGGGCACCGGTTTTGAAAAGAAACCGGTGCCAATTGTTTTTTTTTTTAATTTTTTTGGGGCATTAAGGGCACTCGTTTTGAATTGAACCGGTGCCAATTGTTAGTAAAACCAAAAAAAAAAAGCGACAATTGATTTTTAGCACCGGTTAACCGGTGCCAAAAAAAATAATTGGCACCGGTTTTCAACCGGTACGAATGTTTTTTTTTTTGGCATCCCTCAAATTTAAACCGATTCAATACCGGTGTTAAAAGGGGGTTTTGAACCGGTGCGCATTTCATAGTTTCTACTAGGGTAATCTCACAGCTTTCATTTGACTGAACCCAACGGGTCACCCAAGCATGTAACCGAACTAAGGCGACGGATTAAGCCGAAGGTCTTAATACATCAAATAAGAGGATACGTACTTCGACGTCGGATTTTGAACTTAAAGCGTCGAAGCCGAACGTCAAACGTCGAGTCAATTCTAGGAACCGATGAGACGTGCAAATAAGTCAAACAACAAATATCAAGTCAACATACGTAGCCCAAGCCTCTCAGTGGCCTAGCCATGTGAGGGCTTAGCTAGTATGGCTAGCAAGCATGCTAGCATGCGTAGCCTTGGCCGCAAGCCTAGTAGCAGCATGCGCGTGCTAGCTGGGCGAGCATGTCGTGGCTTGCGATCTAGCAACGCTAGCAAGGCCAGCTGCTAGCAAGCGCTAAGCCTCGCTAGCACATGCCTGCATGGCCTGCTAGCAAGTGCGCAGCAGCCCGCTAGCAAGCGAGGCTTGCTGGTGCTTGCAGGTAGGGATGATGGGCTTGCGGCAAGGCAGCCAGCAGCGCATAGCAGCCCAGCAGGCATGCGATGGGCTTGCGGTGCATGCTGGTCGGCCTAGCCATAGGCACAAGGCCTTGACTAGTCTTGCCTTGTTGCCCAAGGCCTTGACTGGTCTTGCCTTGTTGTGATTGGTGGGTTTGGTGGCTTGGGGAATAAGGAGGCCATGTGGTCCTCCTTGTGATCCTCACCTAACCACTCCCACTTGCTTGCCACTTGTTGTTTGATTATTTGTTTTTAAGCATTTTAATTTATTTTAAAATTAAAATAAATGCATTTATTTCTCAACTTTGCAAAGTCCCACATTGATGAAATATCAAGGGGGTGGAGATGTTTTTCCTATAAATACCCAAGCTTGCCTTGGGATTTGCATTGCAAGAGTTGAAGTCTAAAAAAGCATCTCCATTGAGAAAACCTTAAGAGATACTCTTGTTAGTAGTGTTGGTATTATCCTAGCCGATAATACCGACCAAGTTTTCGGACGCGTGGGTGGTCCTTGGACAGGTTTTGGTTTCGCGCGGTGTTCACACACCGTAAAACCCAACATTATCCACACCGTAAAACCCAACATTATCCACAAAAAAAAAAAAGAATTTTACGTTATACTATTGTCAAATTAAATGGAAAATCGGGTCACGGATGAAGCTGGTGATTGATCGGATTGGAAGTGGATGGTGCTCTATTTCACCCGCTAATCCATTTCACTGTTTGAATATGTGGTATCTCTAATTGAGGTAATTATATCCTTGACCAATTTATTCGGATCAATTTTGACATGAGATGATTGGTTTTCGTTGTCCATTTCACTGCCACGATTAAATATATAATATGTACATTAAAAGTGTTTTATGTATTTCAAATGTTTTAAATAAAAACAGTATACTACAAATAAAGAAATACCACCATTAAAAAATTTTCTTTTAAAATTAATCATTTCTTCATACAAACAATATCCAACCCAGAACACTTATTAAATTGAATATCACTAATTGAGCTACACAACAACATGAATTATTTCTAAATAAAACAAATAACAAAACACCAACACAATAATTAATTTCACCAATCTATTCTAACTTTGTTTAATTTTAACTTTAAACATTATAATACAAAACCATGAAACCCTAGATTATTAAGCAGATGCAAGTTCAAAATTTAGGGAGAAATCAAAGACATAAACTTTTAATTGCAATAAAGTTACATACAAATCTTTGCTTGCATGAATAATTGTTTTTCTCACACTTTCTTTACAATTTGTATAGCTATTCTTATATTTTTCGTTGAAGTTATTTTCGGGACAAAGAAGTTCATCAATTTGTAGGTGAAATTATTTGTGTAGCTATTTTTTTTTTTTAAAGAGCTTATACATTAATTACATAACTTAAATTGGCACTTAGGTGTGAAATAATTCCCGCTTAGATCTTTGTAATCTCGCCTAAAATCTGTTTAACCCGCTAAACACCAAAATAAAATCCCGCTCAATTGTCCCTCCACTTATTTTATTTTTTGTCCAAGGCTAGTTGAATTGCCATGTTTTAATAGGTGATTTACAGACTTCATAGGTACACTAGTTGTACCCCTAGCCTTTTCCTAAATTTACCCTCTAACTATGGTTAATCAAACTTTTCCAAAATTATGTTTGAATGAAATTAAATTATTGGCTCGAAAATTTGGAAAAATAATTGAAGTAATTACGAGGTATATACATGGGAATAACATAACGTTAACCAAACAGAACATAAAAAACATAATTATATTATTTTAATGAATTATAACCTCCCATGCAATATAACATTAACCTTTATTGTGATATAAATTAATTATCTCCTCTCCTATCTTACCTAAACTGCTTAGACTTGAAAATGAGTGAAAATAAGACGAGTAATACGGAAAAGTAGCCATATTTCATGATGTTTAAGCCAATTTTGCCATTTATTTATTGAAAGAATATGGTTTAGTTTTTAATTTTATCTCTTTGCTTTTAGAGATTAGGATAATTAGATTCCTCATTACGTCAATTCCTGTCAAATTTGGAATGGAAGCTTCATGTCTTGGCATCTAGCCTAACTTAATCCTCTTCATTCTCTCTCTTTCTCTCTCCTTTGAAAATTCCTTTCACTTTACTGGTCAATGCCAGAGAATTAGATTCTTTACTGTTTTTCACTTTTTTTTTTTTTTGTTCTCATTTTCCAGATTAATGGCTGATTAATTATCACAATTTTATGCAGGATCTCCTATTCCTTCTGAAGCCAGATCTTCGTTGTTGATGCTTTCATAATCCACTACTTCTGTGGATTATGACATCAACTTTCCCATCAAATTTCAGGATTCTTTTTTTTTTTTTTTGAATCTGTCATTTTTCTGGGTTGATTTTATTTTGGAAATTGGCTCCATAATTTTTCAATAATTTGAAGAAACCCCCTTTAATTTTTCAGGGTCTAATAAATTTGTGAAAATGATACAGTAATTTTGCACAGATTTGTAAAACCCGCTTCTATTTTTTTTTCTGAAATGGCAACCTAATTGTTCCAAAATTTACGAACCCTTTTAATTTTTCTGGGTTTTTCTTTCAGAATAATGGAAGATCAGGGGTTTTGTGTTGAAAATTTGAATTTAGTCATAGTAGAAGGAGAAGAAGAAGAGGAATTTCGAAGTTGTTGTGAGGAAGATAGTGAAGATGAATGTTTGAATGAAGAAGATAGTGAAGAATGTTTGAGTGAAGAAGATAGTGAAGATGAATGTTTGAAGGAAGGAAATAGTGAAGATGAATGTTTGAAGGAAGGAAATAGTGAAGATGAATGTTTGAAGGAAGGAAATAGTGAAGATGAATGTTTGAAGGAAGAAGATAGTGAAGATGAATGTGATGAATTAACAGTAAAGATGTGTTTTAAGGGTATTTCAATTGATGGGTTTGGTGAATCTTGTAGTTCTGGGTTTACTGGAATTGGTGTTGTTATTCAAGGTTCAAAAGAATTTTCTGATATAATTGTTCAGAAAAGGCTTGAATTTTATGTTGATGGTTTAGTTGCTGATTATTTGGCTTTGATGGATGGTTTGCTTGAGGTTTTTAAGAGTAGTAACAATAATATTAGACGTGTTTTCGCTACGACTGATTCTAAGACTCTCTATGAACAGGTATTGCTGTGTTCTATTTGTATCTTGTGATGTTATGGATTCATATTGTTTCGAATATTGTCGAAATTTTCTGAGTTGGGGTTTAATTGTGCTGCTGAAGTTTTTTGGTCTTTAGGAATATTTTCATGCCATGTAGAATTCTTACAAATGAACCGCTAGTAGAAAATTATATACTGTAAATATGAGACGTTTTTTGTGTTCTGCATTGAATAAGATTGAGTTAGCTGCTTGTTCTGTGCTGATTGCTTCAATCATTCACTGAGCTAATTCGTTTATTCTTTGGTTTTACTGGTCATAGAAGTAATTTATATATGTTGACCTCAGCAATTGAAATTTCACCGATATTGGATTTCAATAAAGGCGGATTGTATTGGTTGATGGTAATTTAACTATGTTGTTCTCATTGCATCTTGATAACTTATCGTTTTGTGAATATGTGACTGCTGGCAGCTTGATTTTGGGTTGTGTATTATGATATGAAAAGTGAAGAAGCATATAATTTAAGTCTTCTGGCTTTATCTAAATTTGTAATATTCCAGATTGCATAGGTTAATGATTCATGTATACTTTTATATGGCAGATGTTTTCTAATACGTAATTGTTTAGTGCATAGGTTTGTCTCTGTATAGCTGTTGATTTGTTATTTTGTCTCACAGATCATGCTTAAGGAGAGCCTTGTTATTCCTCTCATAGTAGCATTAAGGGAGAGAATACTTGAACTTGTGGGTCGGTTAGATGCTTTTAGTTTGAAACATGTCCCAAGTGTTGAAGTGGAGAGGCCTTTGCAACTGGCTCAGGTGGCAATTGGTTTGTTCACCTTACAAGAGGAGAGTCATGGTTCACTTCAAAATTGTTCGTTATGTTGTGATGATAAGCCATCTTCAATGATGCTCACTTTAAGATGCTCACACAAATATTGTTCCCAATGCCTGAAGACCCATGCTAATGAAAAAGTAGAGGCTGGTCAAGTCCCCATTGGATGCCCTGAGATAAGATGCAACTACTTGCTCTCGAAATCCGAATGCAAGTTATTTCTTCCAGTTATTTCCTTTGATGTTTTAGACAAAGCAATAGAAGAATTTAATGTGCTTAGTTCAGATAAAATTTACTGTCCCTATCAAAATTGTTTGGCTCTGCTTGATCCTAGTGAGGCAACCTCCTCAGATGAATCCAATGGGTGTTGCATTGATTGTCCAGTTTGTCAGAGATCTATCTGTGTGAATTGTGGGGTTCCCTGGCATAATTCATTAACTTGTGGGGAGTATCAAGATCTTCCACTGGACGAGAGAGGCTCCTCGGATCTTTCTTTGCACTGTTTGGCACAGGATAGGGGATGGAGGCGTTGCCAACAGTGCAGGAGGATGATTGATCTGGCGCAAGGTTGTTACCACATGACCTGCTGGTAAGCGTTCCTCTATCTTGAATGTAATCTTACAAAATCCTATATGCAGTTTTTTTAGTCAGTTGACAAGAACATAGAACATGCCAGAATTGCTTATGAGATGATGGTACTGAAGATATGAAAAATGTTATCAAATGTGGTTGGAATTTGCTCCTCTTATCAGATTATGTGTATTACATACTGTTACATGAGTTACATTGATTCTACATATTTGTAAAGAATCAAGGCATGCTAAAAACAAGATTTTATTAGTTTCAAAGGAAGTAGGGGTTCAGGTAAGGGAAATTTAAGTATTTTATGAGGAGTCACCCAACAGTACTTTTGGAGGAAAAAGGAAACTTTTTTACTAGGGATGTGATGGATGTGTATCATATCCATGCGTCCTTTGAAAACTACAAGAGTAAGGGTCACCCACAATACTTTTGATTTTTTGAATGAAAAAATATCCATACTTCCTTTGAAATTTACAAGAAAAAGGGTCACCCAACAATACATTTAGATGAAAAAGGAAACTTTTATACTAGGGATGTGTATCATACCCATATGTCCTTTGAATTTCACAAGAATAAGAGAAGGGGGGGCGGGGGGAAGAGAGGTTAATATAAGGATCCTATGTGGAAGCGGATGATTTTAGGTGAAGAAAGTTAATGGAAAACTATTTATTCAAGATAAAATGTATTGCTAAATATTGATTTATGTGAAATACAATTAAGTAAGATGCAAAGAGTTAATTAATTTTTAGACATTCAATACTGAGCATGTAGAATTGCATGGAGATATTGCATGAGAGAGTGGTAGAAGAGAACAGGATTTGTGTGGGGTGGGGGTAGGGGTGGGGGTGAGAGGTTGAATGAAGAATGTATAAAACAATAGATTTAGATGCAAAGGATTCCTAGATAAAATCAGGATCTCGTAGAAATTGATGTTTTCAGAGACTTGTTTTGGTAGATTTTTCATTACACAAACTAATGTTAAAAAGAGCATTGGGCAATAGTTAGTCAAAGTTCATCAGCTACAACAAGCAGGAAGAGGCTGTGACTGGAACAGTTTTAATTTGAAATCATCTTATAGTAATGGATTTTTGGATTGAATATTTGAAACGTTTTGAGATTTGAGGTTTAAGAGTATGCAGAGCATTTAATGATGCTTTTCGGAAGTGTTAAAATATTATAGATGAAGAGAAGTGAAATAATGGATATGAATCTTTGTCCGACAAATTTCAAGGCTAAGAAACCACTCCTTCACAATGATAGGTTCATCAAATCAACACTGATACCCTTTAGTCTAGGTCATCAAATGAAATAAAAAGAACAAGGTTAGAGCCAAAAAGCAATCTCATCTATAAAGATCTGAGGAATTTATATGTTCTCTTGAATAGTCAAATTCTTGCTGTAATGCAACACAAATTTCACATGACACTTTAAAATAACTTAGAAAATAACAGTAAAGTTGCTGTCTTTGATGCTTAGTCTCCAAATGAGTAGCCATGAAATATACTGAGCATGTAGCTAAGCCTACTAGAATATGACAACTACACTTTTTTTTTTTTTAATTATGTGTACTATCCTTGAAACGTTTGAAATATAAAAAATGTACTAACATCTTTTTCTTGGGTTCTATGCACTTCATCTTTAGTCCATTTTGACAATCCTCTTTTGATATCTTACCTCACAATACTTATACCTTTCCATCAAGAATTTCGTTCCTTTTTGCTAGAACACTCCACAAATCTCGACGTCCTCGAAATATTCTGTTATATTAGTCTACTACTGAAACTAAAAATCATTAGGAGTTTAGGACATGGAGTTCTCATTTTTTTTATTGAAATCATGAACCAACCACAAAATCTATGATTTTCTTCTAGCATTTTATTTTGCTCTTTTTTTTTTTTTTTTTGGAAAGGCTTAACCTTTTGCTTTCTTTGAGAAATTTTAGGTTAGAGTTAATTTTTTCTTCAATGTGATCTTCAACAGAAGCTATATTAAGACTTCCCAGCCATGGATTTACATTTTTGTTATTCTATGGGTTGCTATGAAATTTTCCATTTGGGTTGTTCAAGCTCCTTCAACACTCTTTCTATTTCACTTTGCACATCTTCATCTACAATTTCATGTGCTTCATAAGGAAATTTTGATATATATACCCTTATGCATGCTGAATCTCAGAGGCTTGTCAGAAATACTCTCTGTATTAGATGAAAATTTTGATTCTATTGATCATCCAAGGCCTTGTAGGCTCTAATAATAGAATAATAGCATAAAACCATGAATAGACGAGGAATGGAATTAGGTTTCTGATCTATGTGAACACCGGGGGTGTTTTTGTTGATCGGAATTGAACAAGCACTAAAATTTAGGGTAGATCCTTAGCATGGTGTGTTGAATACTATAGTTTATTTTCCTTATACTTTCAGTGGAAACAGGAATCTAGTATCTTTTTATAATTTTGGTGGGAGAAGAAATTGGTACACATATATTCTTCAGGAGATACTTTTATTAGATTATCAGATTTTAAGATTTTTTTGTGAATTTTGTGCCTAAGGAGTCATAGGCTGTATTAGGCATTCTAGGGAAAATATTCAGTTTTTCAAAATATTTTTGGTTGAGCCTTAATTTAACGAAGTGACATTTCTTTCATAATATCTGAATTCTGAACTATGTCCACTTTCTCTTTTTGGGTTGATCCTTTTTACTATGTCCACTTGAAACATGCCAATAGCATCATGAAAACACTCGAGGAAAGTATTTTGTGAACTGACCCTTCGATCTTTTCTCCACATTCTACACATCACTTTCTCTTATTCCCTTCTGCTGCTCACACTCTCTTTCCTTCTCATCTGTCTGTGAAAAGCACTATAAGTGGTGCTTATTGGTCTTCGAGGTATATCTACAGGAAAGATATTGAGGGTGAAGCTCAAGTCCATGCGCTCTTCGGATTTATTCAACTTATAAAGGCTGCATTGTTCCATTCTCATGATTCTTTTAACTTAAAATTCCGTGTCTCTGTCTCATTGTCAACTAGTACCCATTCTCTAGTAGCCTGCAATGAAAGCTGTTAGGGTATTTATACATGTAAAGGACGGAACGGTATTTTCATTGCATTAGGTATTATGTATTTCTCTATAAGGGAAAGAAGGAGAGTTAAACTCAAGTCCATATGGTCTTGGGCTTTATTTATGTCAACTTTTAAAGGCTGCATTTGCATATTCCATTTTCTTGATCCTTTCTACATAAAATTCATTGTCTCATCGTCGTCAACCTAATATTTATCCTCTAGCAGTCTGCAGCAAATGCATTTTGACAATCTTGATCTAACTTAGTAATGAGGGTAGGAATCATTACAAATTTATAACACATGTATACATAACATTGCATTAGTTTATAGAGTAGAACTGGTATATTTTTTCAGGATTAATTTTCTTTAGAATGAGTTTAATGAACCTATTGTTTCATTCATTAAGGGGGTGATTGAATGTAATGAACTATTACTGCATCAATAACTATTAAATACAACTCCCAGTTTTCATTAATAGTAGCAGTCCATACGGGCTAGTAGATGTATTTGTTGTTCTCCATTTGGTTTTTGGTAGAGAACTTGCTTAATTTCACTGGCCAAGACTCATCTCCCAGTTTTCATTAATATGCTGGAAGCCTAGGCAGCTGCAGGGAACGAAACCTGGAAAACCTCATAAAAATGGCGAAGGATCATCTCTCTCTCTCTCTCTCTCTCTCTCTCTCTCTCTCTCTCTCTCTCTCTCTCTCTCATATGTATCCTCATACAATGATCTGAATCTTTTTTTAATTTGTTCCAAATTTTCTTAAAGATCTAGACCTCATGGGGCATCCCTATTTGTTTTGAATGTTTTTCATATATCCCACACCCACATGCAAGTTCCCTTGGTTCATGAATGATGTTCTTTAAGCTCTGGGATATGTGAAAAATAAGTGATTAGTTTTGCAGATATGTCCAAAATGTGAATAATTTCTTAATTAGCATTTTGCTCAACCCAAACACCAGTTTTCATCTTGATGGGGTTTCTCCTACTTTAAAAGTTCTAAATCTGCTGCAGCATAATGGCCATGCTATCTGAAAAGAAAAGTAGTTGATTCTGAACAATTTGCACTGTCTCACATTCTCACTGATGCATCTGCTTTATCCAAGCCCTTAAATAGTCTTTGCTCCTTTCATTTACAGTATATGCATTAGTAATCCATAATCCATAGTGTAGTTAATAATCAGATAATATGACATGGTTTGTAGTAAATTGTACTGAGCTGATTCCCTTTTTTATTTTTTATTTTTATCTGCAGGTGTGGCCATGAGTTTTGCTATTCCTGTGGTGCTGAATATAGGGATGGGCAAAAAACATGTCAATGTGCTTTCTGGGATGAAGGTTGTTCCGAGGATTCTGTTGGGCCTACCACCCCTGAGACTGACCATTGGGCATGGAATTCATTTGATACATTTCCCATGATCCTAGATGCTTACTCTGATCAAGAGCGTTCGCAACTGGCTATCATTCAGAGATTCCTTGCTGGTGGCTTTAGCTTGAGTGACCATCGCTCTTGTCAGTTGCCACCTCCACCATGTACAGATTCCTATATTGATGCCATGAAAGATCTCCATCAGCTTCCTTGGCTGGAGAGGTTTGTTTCTGTAATAAGTGATAATTATTATGATGACTACATTCGCTAACACCGCTGTTAAGATCAATTGAGATTGTATTTCCCAAATTCACTATTGTGGGGAAGCATTGGAGTTTCTTACTCTTTCGAATTGTTTGAACTGCAGTGTTCGTAAGTGTACACTTTGAATGTAGTTTTCATTGATCATACATGTGATTGTGCCTCATCACCTGTCTACGTCTGCTTTTGTACTCCTGCAAAAATATTCTAATTTATTTTCTTGTAAGAGTTTAAAGTGGAAATCATTGGCAAAACTGCATTAGAGTTTAACAATTTCTATGCACAATTATTCCTCTATTTTTTATTAGTTTACTACTCACGTAAGTTACTTTTAACTTTCTCTTGAAAGTATGTACTCCGTAATAAGCAGATATAAATTGAAAGGTCCGAAGTTATACACACTGTGAGCTAACAGTTTCTATGTTACACAATATGTTTTCAGCCGTATTTGGTCCTAAGATGTCACAGAATAAATAGTATTTTCATTAATCTTTATTCATAAGAACTTAAAATCAGTATTATATGTTTAGATCGTGGGTTAGGTTTAGATAACCCCAAAGCTTGTGGACTCAGCATGGCCAAACCATCTTTATATTGACCAAATAAAGTCGTTGATTTATTTACGAAGCTACAACTTAATTTGCGTTTTCTTGTACATCAATAATAAAGTGGGGCTTGCTTGAAAATATGAGTATGAATTTGGAAGCCATGGTAGCCCGTGAGTAAACCAGGGAAGAGGAAGTGGTGGTGTTTTTTTTGCGTGAATGTAAAGTGAGCATGATTTTGGTTGAGTAACAAATTGTGCACGGGACTGATTTATTCTGCGTTCTGTCTCCTCGTGACTTCACCATTTTTTTTTTCTTTTATTGTTCTTTTATGATTCCGGGACGGTGGGGGCAATTGGGCAAGAACTCAAGAAGGATGTGATAGATAGTATATACTCCCTCCGTGTAACACTTTTTGCATTATTTATTTAACATATTTTAACTAATATTTGTGATTTACATATAGGAAAAAGTAGTTTTGTAGGTGTTTGTTGGAATCATCTTATTGAACAGATTATTAATTTTTAGTTGTTATAATTTATACTTATTTATTTATTGATAATAAAAGATAAAATTGATTAAAGATTTGTATTGGCTTATGCGTCGATGAGAAATGGAGCACTTATTAAATTACTCCTTCCGTTTTTTAATGCAACACTTTGAACTGTGTGAAATTTTGTGGTTGAGTTAAATTTGCTAAAAGATTGTGTAAGTGAGATTTGTAGGAAATTAAAAGTGATAAAAAAAAATAATAGATGATTATTTCAAGTAAACGTATGGAATGTGAAAGAAGAATTAGGCCCTGTTCACTTCACTTTAAAATAATAATATTCAGTAAAAATAATTTTAGTTCAGTAAAAATAAGTTTAGTTCAGCAAAAATAATTTCAGTTCAGTAAAAATAATTTAAGTTCAGTAAAATTCAGTAACTTTAAAGAAGAAATATAAAAAGAGAATCAGTAAAAACAATATCAGTTCAGCAAAAATAATTTCGGTTCAGTAAAATTAATTTCAGTTCAGCAAAAATATTTTCAGTTCAGTAAAAATAATTTCAGTTAAGCAAAAATAAGGTGAAGTGAACGGGGCTTAATAAATAAAAAGTGTGATTGGAATAGGAGTGGAGAATGTGATGAGAAAGATAATAAAATAATGTATAATATTTGCATTAGAGGTGCATTTAAAAGAACTGATTATAGAAATTGGTGCACTTTAAAAGAATGAAGGGATTATTTAGTGACGGAGTAAGAATTTTAACATCATTAGGACAACACCAACCACATACTAACGACAACAAAATTAATCAAGATAAACGCATATAAATAAATAAAAAAAAAATAATCTAACAACCAATTAACAAAGATTACCATTAAGAAAGAACAAAAATTGAGCATAAATTCAACACCATTCCAATATGAGGAGAAATTTAAAGTCATTAACAAAATCATTACCCAGTTTATATTGTTACAATGGAGGAAGCTCACTACTAGCATGATTAAAGATACGTAAAACATAGGATTAGCAATTAAAGGTATGCAGGTACTATTAAAAATGGCAAAACGTACAATAATGTGTAAAACAAAAGACATAATTAATCTCAATACTCATCCACATAAGTATTTGAAATATTTTATTTTATTTATTTTTTTTGATTAGAAGTATTTGAGATATATGATAAACTAAGATTGAAAATACTAGACCCCTAGAAGAAAGTTAATTGTGTGTAGCAGCAAACGATGTCATGTCTTTTTTTTTTACTTTTATTTTTTTTTTTTTTTATTTTTTTTTTTTTTATAAATTTTAAGAAAAGAGTTGTAGGAGGCGTGCACTACCGGGACCCCCACCAATGGGAGTACTTGGTATTTTTTTTTTCGTATTTTTGTTAAGTGTTACTCGTAGCATTTTGGAAAAACATTTATACGAAATTTCAATGTTTCAAACTTTCAGTATGGCTTGAATTGCTTGATTGGATTGAGTCAGTTTGATTCGGTTCAATAAGGAAATTTATACCTACAAAGATGTTGTGTAAATTAAGTCGAATTTAAGTATTTTATAGGGTGAAATTTGTTTATTGATTTAGGCCTCATTCACTCACCTTATTATTGTTGAATTGAAATTATTTTTACTAAACTGAAATTATTTTTGCTGAACTTAAATTATTTTTGCTGAACTTAAATTATTTTTACTGATTCTCTGTTATATTTGTTCGTTATAGTTACTGATTTTTACAGAACTAAAATTATCTTTACTGAACTGAACTTATTTTTACTGAACTGAAATAATTTTTGCTGAACTGAAATTATTTTTACTGAATATTATTTTTTTAAGGTGAAGTGAACAGGGTCTTAATAACAAAAAGTTTAAATAACTAGTTCTCTTTAGGGGTGAAAGTAATATGGATAAAAACCGAAAACAGAACCGCACCAAACTGAATAATCTATTCGGTTTGGATTTTTTTAATTTCGGTGCGGTTTGGATGAGAATTTTGAAAATTTATTGTTCGGTTTGGATTCGGTTTTGGGCTTGTCAAAACCGAAAACCAAACCCAAACCGATATATGCTTGAGATATATGTGTAGTCTGATTTAAATACAAGTTAGGTCCAATTTATAGCCCACCAGCCTTAGTCGGAGATATAACTGAGTAGAAAATAAAAACCCTAAATCCTACAAATCCCTTTCCTCTCTCATATCATCTTTCCTCTATCATATTTCGACCAAATTCATACGAATTGAAGTTGTTGCAGTTGTGAATGACTTTTTTGGGTTTATTATTACCCATACATTGTTTTTATTTTGCTGTTGCAATATTTTGGAATTCATACCAAATTTGAAGAAGGAAATATTTGGTGATTTTTAAAAGGAATTATAGTAGCAGCTTAAGAACGATGAGAAAATTGGGAATATATATGGACTAAGGTCGATTGGGAAGAACAAGCTTATCATGATCTCTCATTGAAATTATAGTATTATTGTAGATTTAAGTGTTGTAATCCATATAATTTATTAATTATCATAGTTGTGTTACTTCTTTTTTTACTATGTTTTTGTAGATCTATTATTTATAATTTTTTTTTCAACAATCTGGGAAAAAAACCTCAAAAATTCGATTTCGGTTCAGAATCGAATTAGAGTTTTAAATTTCGATTTGGATTGGATCGGTTTCAGATCTAATTCAGTTTGATTTTGGTTTGGAAAATTTGAAACCGAATTAACTCGGTTTGGATCGAATCCAAACCGAATGCCGAACTTTCACCCCTAGTTCTCCCTAGAGATGGACCTAAGTCGGGTCGATATGAGGGCTAGTTAAGTATCGTATGGCCCAATTTGGCATGAGAGACACGTCGTACGTCGTTGGGCTATGGTCTATAAATGGCCACTATTATAAAAATAGATCACTACGAGTATAAAATTATTAGGGGGGCTTGTTGGTGTGCTATAACCCGACCAGCACAACACGTGGGTTGTACTGTGTATGGTTTCGATTTTAAAAAATTAACATAAATCCGACGTAACACAACTATTTTCTCGAGAAGGAGACTTAGCTTAGTTGGCCAAGTCTCTCGAATTCCGGGTGAGAGACCTGGGCTCAATTCTAAGGTGAATGTTCACCTTACTAATAAAAAAACACTATTTATTCACCAGGTATAAGCATGACTCACTTAAATACATGGCACGTGGGCCACCCTACACAGCATGGCCCGTACCAAGCTTTAGTTTCATTTATCTGAAAATATACAACTATATATGAAAACATGCCTAAAATAACGAAATATAAAGAGTAAAAAACAATTACAGTAGAAAATAACTTTAGAAGATTGTAATTCTTTATTTGCATGGTCCCATGGTTTAAAGGGAAATGAATAGGAGTATTCTTGAAGATAGTCGGTGGTTGAGGGAGGTGGGAAAATATTTGAACCCTTGATATATAAATCTCAATAATACTCCGTAACTCAATAACTTCATAAGTATACTTTACCCCACTCACATTGTCAGACATAAATCATTTATCATCCGCTCCTTTTTTTGCAGGTACGAACTTAATTAAGATCATTCAACTTTTATCCATTTATTTACTACGAGTACATATTATATTGTATTAATGTGGTCAATTTAGTAGAGAAGAAACTAGAAAGTGTGATAAAAGATGCAAGGAGAAACTATTTTGGTAACTGTGGAATGCTTAAGAGGCAGATTACAAGCTGAAAGAGCTGCTTCTAGAGCTGCTGAACAAAATGTTGATCTTTTGGCTATCAAGGTTTTATTTCTTTCTTTCAACTCTTTATCTTTGTTTTCGGAACATTTGTACATATCCAACTGTTAGACTCAGCTATTTTATAAATTTACCTAAGTTACTTTTTCATGAGTTTGGTGAAGTGTTTGTCTATACCCATGTCGGAGTATTAGAATCTGACACAGGTATTTGTGGTGAAATAAAGAGTCGATGTTAATATAGCTAGTCTCGAGCCCTTTCTTTGATCTAATAATGAAACTTATTCACTTTATAAGTTTGTTGCAATTTGTGATTCAGTTAAGTGAGCTAGAGAAACAGCTAAAGATTGAGACGAAGTACAGAAGAAAAGCAGAAAAGAAGTTGAATATCCTAATAAAAAAGCTTGAATCTTTGAACATTCCAAAGAACAACGTTATTTCAGAGGAATATGAACGATTAAGTTCATCAAACAATTCTGAAATTTCGTGTTTGTCATCAATCATCTCTACAAGCTTTAATCCTCAAGAATATCATCTTCCAGCGTTTCAAGGATCGAAATCGAGTTCGATTTCTAGTGAAATTGCAGAGGAGAATACAGAATCTGAGATTAGTGCGAAGCAAAAAGGCCAGGATATTATCAAATGTGAGCGAAGCCAAATTGATCACACTATTGGGAGACAAGAAATGGACGAAAATTGTCACGGGTGAGTGGCATTATGTTTTTTTTAATACATTTTTAAAAATTAATTAGTTGATTAATAATCCTTATTATTTACTCGGATCTATTTAATAGTTTTTGCTCCATATGTTTCAAAATAAATGTTTTGATTTTTGCAGTTTACACAGACAATATTGGTGCTTTATACATAGATTAAACATAGTTAGTTTGCTTGTAAATTACTTGTTATAATTGTTTCAAAACATATTTTTCAAATACTTATTTATAATTTATAGTTATTGTTAATTAAGCATATTTTATTTTGATAAATACTTCATAGGATTTTTTTTTTTTTTTTTTTCCAACGGGTACTTCATAGGAAATTTAAATGAAATAGAGGGAGTGTTTTGGAGAGAAGTATAGAAAATGCCAAATTTTGGTGCATGTGAGAAACATATGAATTAATGAACAATGATTTAATTTAAACATTGGTATACGATTTAAACTCTACATTCTCTGTTTTTATAGATTTGTCAGGTTGATTAAGGCTAGTTTAAAACTTTAAAAATAAAAAAAGACAGGTTGCTTAATGTTGTCGTTTTTCTTTATTAAACTAATTGCTGCCTTGTGGGAATACCATAGAGGACAAACTAGATTTCATTAATAAAAGTAGAATCCGACAATAACAAAGACAATGCAAGCAGGGATATTATTTGCCCAAACTCTCCTCCCAAATAACTAGGCATGGCAAAACAAATCTAACCTGAAATTCCCAACCCAAATGACTCGACTCAAGACTTGACCCGAGTAGCGAGTATGGTTACCCTAATCAAACCAAAACCCAATTTGATAGCATGAAAAGTTCAAATTCAAATTGACCCAAAATTGATTTAATCTAACCCTAACTTGACCCGAACCAAATCTAAAGAATAACTCTGTTAAAGAACCATTTCAACCAAAAGTTTAAGCTGATGGTTGAAACTCAAGATTGATTTATATAAACTATCACCCCCCTCAATGAAAGCACATTGAGCTTGAAATGTAAATGCGGCTTGGGACCTCTATACCCAAAGAGAAATAAATTAAATTTGGAAGGAGGGGTGGATGAGATTTAAACGTGTAGCCTCTTTTTGTCACGCTGCCGTTGTTACCATGTTAACATATATAAGTGAAAATATTTAATTGTCTACTGACCCTAAATAAACGTAATGAAAGTTACAGAACCAAAGATGAATTTTAACTCAATCCAACCAAAAGTAAGACATACCAAGTTAACTCGAGTCGTATCGAAACATGATCAAAACAACCCATTTTCTAACCCTACCAATCACCATGACTAACAATGAATAATTTGTGGTTTTTCATTTAAGTCTAAACTTTAAGGGGAAGTTTGGCATATGGGGATGAAGTTTGTGGATTTAAAGATGGGAATTGAATGGAAATAAGAATGGGTGATAGGAAATTCATTAAAAAAATAAAAATAATGATGTTGAAGATAGACAGAGAATATACAATAAATTTACAAACTTTCTCTTACTAGTAAATTTAAATATCCTCCTCTTCTTTTTTACGAAGTATGAAGATGTGAAATTTTTTTATATACACCGGATGTACCGTGCACCAAACTAATCCAATGTTAGTTTTTACTATTCATTTGATGATTAAATGAAAACCAATCATCAAAATGAGAACAATATATTCATAGGCACACTGTACACCCGGGTGAATACAATAAATTTACAAACTTTCTCTTACTAGAAAACTATGTAAAGTTAGATTAGAACAACCATTTCCATCCCAAAGTTTTTTAAAATTATGATTTTTGTTTTGATAAAGAATTTGTGGCATTTATTTTGAGATAGCAAAGACTAATTAATTATTAATTTGTTCCCTAAATACTACACCATTTGCAGGTTTAACTTTATATTCACACACGATCATCTTTAATTATATATTGTGATTTATATATGTGGAAGGAAAAAAAAAAAGTCATCTGAAATGTTATTTGATGCATTTCATTTCGTACATCAATTTTTATTTTTTTTCCTTGATTTATATATATGAAAGGAAAAAAACTAGTCATCTGAAATGTTTTTTTTTTTTTTTTTTTTTTTTTTTTTTTTTTTTTTTTTTGTAATTTTTGACTTAATACTTCATATATATGGTTGAAAATATGCACTGAGATCCGTAAATGAAGGAAGCAAACTAATATTACGGGACATTTTAAAAGGAAACTTGATAACTTAAAATAATCAGAGGAAGTACCGTTCAAAAAAAAAAAAAATTAATCAGAGGAAATAAGCTGTAATGAATTTAAGTGTTATTACAAAGCTAATTTGTTCCAAATCTCACAGATTGAAGCAATTATCGTTGGAGAAAAGCAATAATGATGAGATTGACGACAACCAAGATAACTTTTTCGTTGATAATTCATTGACATTGGTTCCCATGAGCCCTGTTGTAGAACTAAACACTTCTTCCAAAGGGCCGTTAGAAGTTGACAGTGAAAATGTGAAAGAAGTCCTTGATACTTTAAAGCAAATTAGAGAAAATCTTCAAAGCTCCATTAGAGGTAAAGGGGCATTATTAAAAGTTGGTTAGTCTTTTTGTAAGTACAATTTTCTTCATTATTTTAGATAATGATAATGGAAATTTTTAGTTGGGTTTTTCTAAGCTATGCCCTCAAGGTTGTTGAGTTTCTAAGGTGTTTCCATGCCTTTTCAAAATTACAAGTTGTGCCCTCCAAATTAAGTTGTTTAATCAACCATACCCTTTGACGTAAACTCGACGTTAACAATAGTAAATAAATAGGAAGTAATGAAGCGGATGAGAAAAAAGAATAAGAAATACACCAAGAGCTAAACATATCAATAGTTGCTTTTAGAAAAAAGAAGAAAAAATAGATGAGAAAATTTGGAAAAAATGCTAAATGTTAACCTACTTATATAAATCTTAACCCAATTTGGGCGTGAAATTTCTCTCCAAAGTATGGTAATAAACCGTGAACACAACTACTAACGTCAAATTAACGTTATAGGGTACGGTTGAATAAACACCTTAAGTTGGAGGGTACATCTTGTAATTTTGAAAATGTATGGGCACACCTTAGAAACTCAATAATCACGGGGCATAGCTTAGAAAAACCCTTTTTAGTTTGTTTTTCTCCTAGCAATATTGGAAAATTTGTTTGTATAATATTCACAAGTTCAAAACTTTGATTGATTTTTCTTGAATAATCTCAACTTTTAATATTATTGAATAATCCAAACTTTAGGGTGCATTTTATTTTTTCTTCTCGCAATCCCAACAACTAGTGACCTATTGAAAAGAGTTATTTATTTTATTTCATTTTTTAAAATGCCACATGTCACAAGTTAATTGGTCAAAAAATAAAAAAAATACCCAAATACAATTAGCCCCCACACCCCCCCTTGACCCCACCAGTCGACCACACCAAGCCCCGAAATCGACCACCTCACCCTAACCCTTGAAGCTGGCCAACTGCCCCACCCAAACCTTTGAAAGCTCCCCCATCCCCTACACCCCAGAAACTGCTCCCTTCCCTACCTCGCTAAATGACCTCCCTCCCTTCCCTAACCACCGAAACCGCCCCCTTCCCTTCCCTACCCCCGAAACTAGCACGCTTGGGCGGTTCCGGGGGTAGGGAATGTTAGGAAATAGGTTCCTTACTAGAACAAATTCTAGAATTATGAAATTAATAAATAAATTACAATGTAATATAATACCAATTACACCAACAAACCAAACACCAACAAGCTTAGAAAGCAAAAATTACAGAGAATCAAACTAAACAAGTATGAAGAACTATACTTGCCTCACTCCAAGCCAAATGAACAACCAAGAACACGAGAATACCATGGACCACGTGAGTCTTCAACACTTGATACTCGTCTAAGGCGTGTAAACACTTTCCTAAAGCGTTAATTTCCCCCACAACGGTGCTTGGGTTGAACTAGAAATACGCTTTGAGATACAATAGACGAACACTACACTCTAAGCACAAAGATGTGTAGAAAGATGATCAAATTCTCGATTATAAACTTAATTGATGGAGTATTTCAAGAAGAGATTGCAAGTTTCTTAGTGAAATTGTGAAGAAGAGAGTATTCTTGGAGAGGAAATCAGAGAGGATAAAAATAATTAACTGCAATCATTCTTTTGATTTTGCAATTAAAAGGAAGACGAAACCGCAACTGCTAGGAGGAGCGGGCGCTCCTCAAAGTGGAGCGGGCGCTCCTCAAAGTGGAGCGGGCGCTCCTATTCTAGGAGCGGGCGCTCCTCACCCAAGTTGCGAAATTCAACAAGAAGACAGTGAGGGGCGCGGTATAGGCGCCACCAGGAGCACGGGCGCGCCACCAGACGCGCGGCCGCGCCAACCTCAACCTTCCAAATTGCCATTTCTAGAGAGGTACGCGGTTTAGGCGCGTTCTCTGTGCGGCCGCGCCTACCTTGCACGGGCGCTCCTCATGGTTCGCGAGCGGGCAACCATCAACACTCTAAATATCCAACAATCCTCCCCCATTTAGAGTGTTTCTAAAACCTTCTCCACTTCTATCAATTAAGCACATCTCATGCATTAATGCTAATGTCCCTATGGATTGAATTGACACCTAGTACAACACACTTAACGATGATCATATTCCGTGATTTCCAGATGGGTTGAATCACACGAATATATCCAACCATTCGAAGGTGAAGTACACACAAGATAACTCAAATTTAACATCACTTGACGCTTATACAACCATGTGTCCGTATCTTTCATAAGTTCATCAAAGTCTATATGTCCATCTAGACTTCTTAAAGCGGCTAAACTTCGAACTCATATAGGTAGGTTCTCATATACGTAATAGTGATCTTGTGATAAGACACCTTCATTTAGAGCTTCTCAACTCTAAATCTTTGAGAACTTTAAATAGACGCTACCTTACACATCACAAGTAACATAGAAATATGGGTCATCATACATTGCTATCAAACAACAAAAATGTAATTCAACCACATTGAATCAAAGACTCGATGTTTCTTCAAGCTTTAGATTGGGTTACACAAATTTGTGTTTTAGGACATAAACCCATTCCATTCAAAGCAAATATGATGGAATGTCTTGGCATTGCTTTAGTAAAGCAATCCGCCAAATTCATTTTTCGTAGGAACATAGTCAAGACTTATGACCCCATCATTGATAATCTCTTTCACTAGGCTATGCCTAAGTGAAATATGCCGAGACTTACCATTATACACTTGACTATATGCCTTTATTAAAGCCGAATTCGAATCACAATGGATTGCCACCGGTGACATTGGCAAAGGCAATAAAGGCAACTCTAACATGAGATTTCTCAACCACTCAACTTCCTTACTAGCTGAGGCAAGAGCTATAAACTCCGCTGCCATAGTGGAATCGGCAATGCAAGTTTGTTTCTTGGAAGACCATGAAATGGCACCTCCCCCAAACATGAACACCCAACCACTTACAGAAGAATCATCCTCTTTGTAAGTGATCCAACTTGCATCTGAATATCCTTCTAAAACTGAAGGAAATCCACTATAAGTTAGACCATAGTCTAACGTACCCTTAAGGTACCTCAAGACCCTCCGAACTGCATATCAATGCTGTGCACCCGGGTTACTAGCAAATCTACTAAGTTTTCCAACAGCCAATGCAATATCAGGTCTTGTACTTGTCATGGCATACATCAAGGATCCAATTATCCTTGAATATTCCAATTGGGAAATTGTTTTCCCCGAATTCTTAACTAATTTAACATTAGGCTCCATGTGGGTGTTTACAAGACACTTATCAAACATATTAAACCGTTTGATCATCTTCTCAATGTAATGAGATTGACTTAGAATAAGTCTTCCATTGTCCCTAATTTTCTTGATGCCCAAAATGACATCGCCTCCCCCAAATCCTTCATCAGAAAAGATGAGGTTAAGAATTCCTTGGTCAATTCTACTTGTTGTAGACTTGTACCAAAGATAAACATATCATCAACATATAGACAAATGATGACACCATGACCTTTGTCATCAAATTTGCTATATATACACTTATTAGCTTGATTCACTTTGAATCCAAAGGACAAAATCGTGTCATCAAATTTTCGATGCCACTGTTTTGGTGCTTGTTTAAGTCCATACAAAGACTTAACCAATTTACACACCTTATTTTCCTGTCCTTCCAAAACAAACCCTTCGGGTTGTTTCATATACTTTTCTTCCTCTAGATCTCCATAAAGGAATGCTGTTTTGACATCCATTTGATGAATCACTAGATTATATACCGAAGCCATTGCAATCAATAACCTTATCGAGGTAATTCTTGCAACCGGTGTATAGGTATCGAAATAATCAACACCATGCTTTTGCCTAAAGCCTTGGATAACCAATCTGGCTTTAAATTTCACTATGGAGCCATCTGGCCTCCTTTTCCTAGTGAAAATCCACTTGCAACCAAGAGGTTTGCAACCGGGAGGTAAATCCTCTATGACCCAAGTATTATTTCCCATGATGGAATCCATCTCATCATTTATAGCTTCCTTCCAAAATGCACTATCTTGACTAGATATTGCCTCGCTATAAGTCTTTGGGTCACTATCCACATTGAAACAGTATGGAGTAGTGGAACTAAGGACATCCCTAGATCCTTCAACTAAATAAATTATGAAGTCATCTAGAGGATTCCTAATTTTCCTTTGTCTTTTACTTTTTTTAACATGAGGAGTCTCATCCTCATTATTAGATGAACCTACATGAGAATCAAGTTGATCATCATAATCAACAATTTCCTTCCCTTTGGTACTTGCTTGTAGATCCTTAGGTCTACTCATTGATGAAAATCGGTTTTCATAAAAAATTGCATCTCTTGACTCAATAATCGAATGTTTCGAAATATAGTCACTTTGTTCTATAACATAGAACCTATAGGTTTTGCTATGCTCAGCATAACCTATAAAAATGCATTCCAAGCCCCTTTCACCGAGCTTTCTCTTTTTGTTACCGGGCACTCTTACAACTGCCCTACAACCCCAAACTTTGAGATACTTAAAGTTTGGTTTCCTTTTGTACCAAAGTTCATAAGGAGTGGAATCTTTCCCTTAGTGGGAACACGGTTAAGTATGTGACAAGCCGTCAACATAGCTTCACCCCAAAACCCTTCACTCAAACCGGAGTAAGATAACATGGAATTAACCATTTCTTGAAGAGTTCTGTTTTTCCTTTCAGCTACACCATTTGATTGTGGTGCATAACGAGCTGTAGTCTCATGAATAATACCCAAATATTGGAAATAAGCAGGATCATAATACTCCCCTCCCTTATCGGTTCTCAATCTCTTAATTAAAGATTCTACATGCACTTCTACCTCTTTCTTATAAATATCAAATTTAACCAAGGCTTCATCTTTGGAATATAAAAGATACACATAGCAAAATCTTGAAAAATCATCAATAAACGTAACTATGTATCTTTTATTTCCCAAAGAAGGTGTACTATAAAAGTCACATAAATCACTATGAACCAAATCTAAGATCTTAGAACATCTCCCAACTTTCTTAAAAGGAGTTCTAGTGATCTTATTCAACATGCAAGTAGAACATTTATCAAGAGATATATCGCATGGAGGAATTAACTTTAGTTTAGACATGAAATTTAACTTATTGTAATTAACATGACCCAATCTAGAATGCCATAAATAAAACAAATTCACTCCATTGTCATTACCAACATTCATACAAACATCATTCAATAATACACACTTCTCTCTTAACGAGAGTTTAAACAAACCATGAGTCAAGTAACAACGTCCTATAAAAGTGCTACCTCTAGTAATAATACATCTATCTGCTTCAAATACTAGTTTATATCCAAGTCTATTCAGGGTAGGGCCTGATACAAGATTTCTAGAAATAACCGGAGCATATAATACATCCCTAAGAATGATACTATTGCCCGAACTAAACATCAGCTCAACTTGTCCTCTTCCTTGGACCATGATGGAAGAGTTGTTCTCCATATAGAGCTCTTCACCATCAACAACCTTGTGAAAGGTTTTGAACCAATGCTTCACCTTGCATACATGCCTTGAAGCCCCCGAATCCATCCACCATGAGTCATCATCCTGTACCATAAAAATGTTAGGATCCGTTGCATTTAAATCCATACCGGAATTAAATTCAACCTTAAGTAATGGATTACCTTTGGTGGATGAGTCCTTGCTCTTAGAAGCTTGACCCTCCTTGGATTTCTCCATTTTCTTCTTGAAAATGTAGCAATCCTTCTTGCGGTGTCTAGTCTTACCGCACTCCCAACAAGCATACTTGTTGTTATTGTCCTTCTTTTTCTTGGACTTTCCCTTGGAAGAATAAACATTCTTCCTCTTTCCACTAGTTGAAGCACCAGATTTTCCTTCCTCCACCACATTGATGGTAGAAGATCTAGGATTCCTATCCTTAGCCTTTTCCATGGCCCTAATCCCTTCTTCAATCTGAAGATGGGTAGCCAAATTGGACAAAGATATGTCCTCTTTTTTGTGTTTCAAATCATGTTTTACATCTTTCCAACTACAAGGTAGCTTATTAATAATACTTGAAACAACAAATAGTTCATCAACATTAATTC